ACAAGATATGCAATGACATTAGCACAATGTCCTCAGCATGATTAGTAGTTCTTACATTTCCATCTGGGTTTCTCAAAACTAGCGGAAAGTGTGAAATGTAAACATTAATTTTTTTCTGTTTTGTGCAAGTTTGACACGCCACAGCACAACAACTTTATGGTTTCTTTGGATAATACTTGTGACAGATTTAGGACTAGTTTCTCAAACTGCACTTATCACAACTAATTGTTTGACATATACTGTTATTGACATTCACAATCTAATATAATTTAAATCTTTAACATAAAAATACAATAACATCACATCCATTTTGTACTACAAAAATAAAAACAGATTTTACAATTAATGCTTAAGTACCAGAAAATCCAATCAGAACTTTCAGAAACATCATAAGGTTCTTAAATAGGAAGAGATCTGTGGCTTGGTGCTAGAACCACTATTGTCATTCTGACTTGGTCGTTCTTGCACCAAGTCAGAAAGACATTTGTGGTTCTTGCACAAAATCAAAGAAATCAGGTAAATAATCTGCTCAGTGTCATAAGTTAATAGATACTTCAGTATGAAGCATCATACCAGTCTGGAGTGCTTAAAGAAGGTTACTAAATTGCTTTAGTTACTATTTGGCTTCAAACTTTTAAACAAACAAGAACTTCAGTTTTCAAAATGAAATTCACTATGTTCTTGCTAATATGGGTCTCTAATACTTCAGAAGTGTAAGACGTCTGAATCACTTGCATTAAGATACATCCACATAACCTGGCATCAAGGACAATTAAAACAAAAAGGTAATAAAATTACAAGACAGATTACATGAAAATACTGATATGAAAACACAAATTTAGATAAAGAATATATTAATATTTTACATCAGACAAAATAGCAAGCATTTCTATAAATGATGATAATTCAAGAAATTCTTTAACACCTGAATTGGACTAAGAAAATATTTTATTGATTTATATGGCACTAAAATCAACAATTTCCTTTTTATAAGAACTTGCCTTTTAAGTATCAGTACTTAACCCGGAAGGATGCACATGGAAATTTTTACCACAAAAAAGATACTCAACTGTTTTGACAGCTTTTTTTGAACCGATTCTGTTTTCCGGTGGATTTATCTAGTGTTTTTCAATTCACACTCCTGTTTACCAAAATTTAAATTATCAGTGACTGTTTTTTTTTAGCTGTAGTTGCATAGCTTGCAAAGATTTTGTTTTTTTTTCCACGTCAAAACATTTTTGGCCCTGGTGAATAATTTAATATGTCAATGTTCTTAATAAGTATACTAATACTAATGGATTTTTGTAAACACACTGAACATTTATGAATATTAAGATTTTCCTTTTGGCTGCTGAGAAATGGGCACATAACATAAGTTACATTAAATCATAACACTTTATAGGAACTTTCCATTAAACTTCTTTTTTATTGTTGTTGTTATTGTTGTGAAATATTAGTTCAAATAATCATAGAGTGGTATGATAATATTATTCTGCTATAAAATTGGCTTTTCACGAGTAACTGGCTTATTCAGAGGGGTCGAAAGTGTATCCACATTATTTGGAAATCTTATGCTGAATGCACCACATGTTTCTAAGCACTTACTTCAAACAGTTTTAAAACAGCATGCACAAATATATTCAGTATGTGCAAGAGAAATTGTAGTTCTTAGTAGTTTATCAGTGAAATGTAAATACACAAACATAATTAGTTCATAAAGCAAAAACACGATGTCA